ATAATTATACAATATTCAATATCTGTCATATTTTTAAACCATTTCTACTGAAGAATCTTTAAAACAGGGAATTAAAGACATAATGCTGGACTTTTTGTGGTTACACCTACACAGAGACACTCCCCATCTTCTTTCATTTAGAAGTCTTCTTTTATTGTTTTCCATTACTGGAGTCGACCCCAGCTCAAAGCAGAATAACCTGCCACCGAGAGCCGGAAAACTCCAATAATCTTAGGAATTCCCTCATCCGCTATGCATGACTCCAATTACAGCCTCAGGGTCTGAAAGGAAAAGTTTCTACTCATTGAAGGCTAAAGCTTTTTAGGGCACAGGGGGGAGGTTCGGAGTTGTCAGGGTACTGAAAGACAAAGAGGTGGTCAGGTAGCAACATGCCCCTGGACACCGAGGCGAGCGGACAACATAAAGACTTGCTAAAAGATGAAAAAAGGAATCAGTTTGGAGCTTTATAGAATCAGAGACTGAGCTTATACAACACTTTTTTTAGATGAACAAAAAATATGCATATATATATATATAACTCAAGTTGCAGCTCACTGAAACCAGATTATTTAAACTAAAGCGAAAAATTCATTATTTTTTTTTATTCCTTTAATAAAAATCTTAAAAACAAACAAGCTTTGCATTTACTAAGAAATATTTAACCTTCATAATAAACAGACCCCAGGTACTTGAGTTTGCATTCGACACTCTGCACCATCAACCCCTAATACTGTGATTACACACTGTATCGGCTGTGCTGGTCTGGAGTCTGTGGCCAATCCTTCACCAACTAGTTTCATTCTGACAGGACAAGAAGCTGAATCTTTTTAACAGCACCATAAAAAAATAATCCAGTGGTGGGGTTTTAGAAATGAATCAGATCAATTAAATTGACAGAATTAAAGAAAAAAGATTAAAAGCCTAAATGTCTTCCGTCTAATGACCTATGGAAATGGGCACCAGCCAATAGGCAGTATGAGCTTTTAGAGGATTAAGTGTGTAAGAAAAACTGAATGGATGGACACTGAACAGGCCTGGAACCTACTGCAGGACAGAAAACATTCACTTTGACACAATATATAAAACATCTGGAGAGCATAATTAGTGATGTTAAGTCTCAACCAACCAAATTCTGAAAGTAACAGTTCTTTCAATCATCGCTAACAAATGAAAAATCATGAATTAATTAATTTAGGGTAACGTCTTCCACTACTTGGTTAATGTTTATGATAAAACTCTATATTAAAAAGCAGACAAATTTAGCTATTTAGCTATTGTGCATAGTAATTGTGTTTTTATCACATGATGTCTTATCAATACATCTTCAATCAAAACCCTGAATATATTAAACAATATAGAATAGTAGCGAGCAAAGAAAGGAGGCTACAAGCAGGTTGTAGATGGAGCATGTAGAAAAATCAATACAAGGGATGGGAAGTATAGATATAGGACTGTGGTTTATTATATGAAGCTAACCATGTTGGCGTTAACCTTCATCTTTCTCCACCTCCTCCAGATGGCCTTCAAACCCACGCAGGTACATGCGAGTTGGTGTATTAGAGCAGCCTCCCTATGGAGCTTTTTACTAAGATTCCAATAAACCTTTGAGAGCAACATAAACTCTGCGGCCTTTTATCCTAAGGAAGAACACAAGTGCAACAATTGTTTCGTACGTTAACATGTGACTGTGCAAACATCCCTCCCCCCTGTAAATCACAAAGGGCAACTACAGGCTAGAATTATACCGTCCTTTAATTAGAGTCACTCATTTGGGCAAAACTTTGTGCTGCTGACTCATTCTGCCTGAATACCCCGAGGAGCCCACACAGATGACACTCCATTCAAACCAATGCTCCCTCCACACAGCAGCTAAACTCATCTACACGACTGGTAACGAATCCAAGTGCCTGACTGTTCACATCATCCTACTGTGGTCAACGTTTCGCTCCAGCTGTCAAATATAGCCTGCTTCAACTACCCAGTTCATTACACGTTCTAGCTTTCCGTTTTCCCCAAATACTCAATAGTAACCTAGACGTCTCCTCCAAAACAAAGGATGGAATAAAACAGCTCATAACTCAGGGCTGTAGAAAAATATCAAACTTTTGTTACAGCTTAAAAATGCTGAGAGACCACACTTTATGTTCAAAGGATGTTCTGCTAAACACTTATTACAAAATACACTATATTGCCAAAAGTATTTGCTCACCCATCCAAATTATTGGAATCAGGTGTTCCAATCACTTCCATGGCCACAGGTGTATAAATTCAAGCACCTAGGCATGCAGACTGTTTTTACAAACATTTGTGAAAGAATGGGTCGCTCTCAGGAGCTCAGTGAATTCCAGCGTGGAACTGTGATAGGATGCCACCTGTGCAACAAATCCAGTCGTGAAATTTCCTCGCTCCTAAATATTCCACAGTCAACTGTCAGCTGTATTATAAGAAAATGGAAGTGTTTGGGAACGACAGCAACTCAGCCACGAAGTGGTAGGCCACGTAAACTGACGGAGCGGGGTCAGCGGATGCTGACGCGCATAGTGCGAAGAGGTCGCCAACTTTCTGCAGAGTCAATCACTACAGACCTCCAAACTTCATGTGGCCTTCAGATTAGCTCAAGAACAGTGCGCAGAGAGCTTCATGGAATGGGTTTCCATGGTCGAGCAGCTGCATCCAAGCCATACATCACCAAGTGCAATGCAAAGCGTCGGATGCGGTGGTGTAAAGCACGCCGCCACTGGACTCTAGAGCAGTGGAGACGCGTTCTCTGGAGTGACGAATCGCGCTTCTCCATCTGGCAATCTGATGGACGGGTCTGGGTTTGGCGGTTGCCAGGAGAACGGTACTTGTCTGACTGCATTGTGCCAAGTGTAAAGTTTGGTGGAGGGGGGATTATGGTGTGGGGTTGTTTTTCAGGAGCTGGGCTTGGCCCCTTAGTTCCAGTGAAAAGAACTCTGAATGCTTCAGCATACCAAGACATTTTGGACAATTCCATGCTCCCAACTTTGTGGGAACAGTTTGGAGCTGGCCCCTTCCTCTTCCAACATGACTGTGCACCAGTGCACAAAGCAAGGTCCATAAAGACATGGATGACAGAGTCTGGTGTGGATGAACTTGACTGGCCTGCACAGAGTCCTGACCTCAACCCGATAGAACACCTTTGGGATGAATTAGAGCGGAGACTGAGAGCCAGGCCTTCTCGTCCAACATCAGTGTGCGACCTCACAAATGCGCTTCTGGAAGAATGGTCAAAAATTCCCATAAACACACTCCTAAACCTTGTGGACAGCCTTCCCAGAAGAGTTGAAGCTGTTCTAGCTGCAAAGGGTGGACCGACGTCATATTGAACCCTATGGATTAGGAACGGGATGTCACTTAAGCTCATATGTGAGTCAAGGCAGGTGAGCAAATACTTTTGGCAATATAGTGTACATTACCTAGACATGACGTCTGACAAGAAACCCCTAAATTGCGCAACACTAATGACAAAGCATCTGTTATGAGAGATGTGATGCAACGCAGGTATTTAAAGTTTAGGAGGTAAAAGACTGGTTTTATACCATTTGTGCATTTTCTCTCCTAAATTATTTTCTTGGGATGCATTACTGCCGGAAACGGGCAAAGAAGGCGCTGATAGTTTGTCCAGTATTAAAGGATGTGTGATAAAAGCCGCTTCTTTAATAAATGGTGAATGTTTCTGTAAACGAAGTGGAAAAAAAAATTAAATGAAACACTTTTTATTCTACTGCAGGCTATAGTTGCCAAGTTATTTCTTATTTACTTTCATTTTTCTCCTTCCCTCCAGGGCAATCACATTAAAATATGGTTAAAACACCATCATAAAGCTAGTCAGTTGCTGCCAAAATAGCTTCAAAAGCTTTCCTGAAAATGTTACCGTCTGTGACATATGCTGTAAAACTTGTGGCTACTTGATTTAAAGCAATCAAATGTTGGGAAATAAACCATTAATTTAACAAAGTAGAAAACAGATTAAAGCTTCTGATCAAACGGCAGGGTGTTGCAAAAATTTAAAATTTTTCTCTAAAAATGAATAGAAGAAATTATCCTATTAATTTTTAAGTAATTATGCATTTCATATATTAAAAAAATGACTAATGATTTCAGGTTCCATTCAATTAAGGATTTATTGGAAGAGAAAACTCATCTCTTTGTAGACGTTATGCAAATACATCCACACATAAGTGGATAATAAATGCACCAGCGCTCCATTTAGCACACGGTTAAGAAACATTCAGAAAAAGATAAACAATTATAAAAGAATAAAGCAAGCTAAGGAAATTCTGTCTTCAGAAACGTGAATGTTCCTTCGGCAAAATATGTTCTAAATCACATAACGATGAAGCCTGGTTTGGAAATAGTTTTGCTGCATAAAAAAAAGAATGATACTCATATTTTAAACTAGGACAGTGTTAAAAACAAAAACAAAATTCCAAACTCTCCAATTCTTAATTTATAATCTTATCAATTCCTAAAGATTGATTAACCAAAGATCGGTTTTTGAAAAATGCATTTTCCTGTGTTCTTAATGCCCCAAATAGCTACCATTACAGCTTTAATTTATTGCTGAATATTAATAAAATGCTAGCTAGAAATTGATCCAGTTTAAGATCAGACTGGATCAGATTAAAAAGAATCCATTTTAAATCTTAATCTGTTAAACTGTTTTATCAATACTGATTATTGGATCAGACTGGGTAAAAATGTTATCTAGTATTATTTTCAAATAAGAACAAACAAATAAACTCTATAAATAATAAAAATACATAGTCAATGATACAAATTACTTCTGATAAAGACTCCAAGTGAATCATTCTTTTCTACATTCCTTTTCCCTCCTAACTTGAAGTTATCAAAAATATTTCTCTCTGGTACTGAAGCCAAAGACCTGGACTGAATCAATCAGTGAGGCATCTGAAGATCCACAGCTGTACAGAACACAGTGCTCTCAACTTACACATAGTCAGGCCAGGTTTACTCACCATTGACTGCTTGTTGCAGAGCCTCCAGTTTCCTCTGTTTTTCTTTGATCCTATCATATGCGCCAGGGATCCCAGAGCCGACAGATAGGGCCGAGAAGTGAGAAGACCTGTTGTTCTTCAGTCCACCGATCTCAGAGTACTGATAATCCCCCTCCTTGGCCACAGACAAAGGGGATTTCCGCCTGCCCACAGACTGCGTACTTAAAGCACTGCTCCCTCTCCGAGCATCTTCCAAAGCCCCAAAGCGAAGAGCTTCTGGGTCAATGTAAGCCAGGTCCACAGAGGAAGCCCAGATCTTCCTGGGCTGACTGGGCCCTCTGTCTGTGACATAGTAGGGTAAAGACCTGCGGTCCAGCTCCACCGGCCGGCCCTTCATCTGGGGGTGAAGAGGATGCAGGTAGGGATAAGAAAGCTGGTGCTGGAGTGAAGGAGCTTTGGGGTAGAATTCTGCCGTTGAGTCAGAGTTTGTGTGATAGTCAGACAGGGAGTTCTGGGGCGCTGCACCCTCGTCCCCTTTCAACAAGTCGTGCATCGGCAGCGCGCCCATAGAGCGACTGAGGCCCCGGTTTAGAGCGGTATGTTCCTGAGCTCTGGCTTTGTATCGCTCCAAAACTCTGGAGGCGGCACTCCTCCCTAAGAAAGGAAATTACATTAATTTAAAAGCAACCAGATTAACCTCCTCGATAACTCAATCTTTAAAGAAACATTAAATAGAAAGAAATAGTAAACATCCATGTTTTCACAGTAGGTTTTCAGCTGTGTTTTAGATTACTGGTTAGCTGCCCATAAACTTGAAACTTGATATTTCAGATATATTTACTATTTAGTAAAAACTAGGTTGATGGAAGAACTTCCGTTTTACAGCTATTTATTCAGCAATCTATCTATTGAGCAGAGTGAACACAAGATGGTTAAGAAACAGGTGAAAGAATGAGGGAGTGAGCTGCTCCAACAGAAGAGCAATGCTAAGGAATGGATTGATCCTTTTTGCATGTAGTTTCCCTCACCCAGGCTGGCGTTAACCCAGGCAAACAAAGCACCGATACAAACAGCAAACCAGCAGCTTCACTGGTGACTCAAAAATGTGAATCTAATCAATATCATGCAGTGCTTACATAACCTGGATGACGGCCATGGCTTTGGCCGTCCTTCGCATGGCCTGGAGAAAAGCCGTATGATCAAAAAACCACAGAGGAGGGTCTGTCATATTTTCCCGAACTTAGTATGAATTAGAGGTTTTTGTGTGTTGTTCTTTGGAGGTCTTTTTCTGTTCCAAAGCTTAGGCCTGAGAATACAAATGAGCACAACTGAGCTATCTGTTAAATTCATTTGTCTTGCTGCTCTGAAGACTTTCAGCGTAAATAAAGGTGACACTCTAAGAGGAAAACATACTTCCATTTAGGTGTGGGCGATACGAAGAAAAACTAACATGATATAGTTGGGCTTTAGTCACGATACACGATAAATAGCATAATGTGTTTAAATTACCTTCAAAAACAATAGAGTAACTAAAATAGCTTCACTCATTCAAACTGGCATGCAAATTTTTTGGTTTCAAATAAAAATTTTTTTATTTTAACCAGCGCAAAGGTTTACACAAACAATAGTGTTTAACCTTTAACAAGATCCCAGAAACCAAACAGGAAACAAAGCAATTTAAAAATGTAAAAATCATTTAAAATAAATGCTGATGAAAAAAGAAATTGACCTCAAATTACAAAAACAAATGTCGAAATACTGTCCAAAATATGAGCATCTCAAAACTATCTGTATTGATTTTTAAGTGTTGGGAATTTAAAAAAAAGCGCAATAAGTTGTAAATTTGAGAACATTGCCAAGTTTAGAAAATGCCTGCAAAGCCTCTGAACAAGACCACATAACAACACAGGTATTAGAGCATCTAAAAAAAAAAAAATTTTTTTAATAATTTAATAAATAGTGTTTGTGATTTCCCTCCATCTCTTCCTTTTTCTCTCATATGTGATTGTTTTTTCAAACGGTGAGGCCATCGCTATCGGCTTCACAGCTGATTTGCAGCGGATGACTTCTTAGGTGGTGGAATAAATTTATACTGCTACCTTTTGCAGCAGTGGCTTTACGGAACTTCTTACAAATTACCATCTTTTGTTCAACGGCCTCGGTGTGAAATCCAAACCGCTGCCATATATTGCTCAGATGAAACACCTGCGGTCTCCGTATTTTCTTGTTTGCTGTAGTGTGCGTGAAGCGTGGAAAATAATCCAGTTTGGAGAAGGGTTTATGATGCATTTAAAGTGTGTGGGGAAAAATAAAACTAACAGTGAAACAGAAGCAGATGGCTTAATGTCATACAAATTTGTACTTGATGGTTACGATAGTCATTTTAACTATTGTGGGTGGGGAAACTTGAGAAACTTTGATTAGATATATTTCCCACCCCTACTTCCATTCATTACTAGCAGTAAAGAATCTTGTTGTATAAAGTTATTTATCTACTGAAGTTTTAGATGTTCCTTTGTTCTCCCTAGGTTCGATATGAAACATTAAAGCGCATTTTAAGCACTCTTAGAGTACAGGTTCAAGAGGCCTAGCAATGAACCTTGAGGATTCCCAGTATAGAGAGTATGTTAAAAGCAGCTCATCTTACCGGATGGCAAACCTTTGCCTCTCAACCTTTCTCGAATCTCCTTACTCCGCTCTGGAAGAGATTCTCTATCCGTCAGCAGACCATCCAGCTGAGAAAAGGTGATTCAAGTTAGAAACAATGTAAGGATAAAAAAAAAAGGTAAAACTGATATACTTATATATAGATATAGATATATAAAGATAAGCATATACCTGAGAGAGACTGCCAAGTACCAACCGGACCAGTTTCCGAACGTAGGAGAAAGGAGGGTCACAGCTGGAGTTTCTGATGTGTTTGCTGCAGATGTCCAGCACCGTTCGCAGCGACATTCGACTCAACGTGACGTCGTCACACATGTTGAGCAGTAGACTGTTTAGATGTTCCCCAAGTTTCATGGGCTGCACAGGAAAACAGAGGGAGAAGAATAAGCAATATGGGAAGCAATCTTATCAAGTTATCTGAACTTGCACGCTTCATAAAAACTACCTTGTTTGAAAATAGCTTCAATCAAAATGTATTTTAGAATAAAAAGATGGAAAAAAATAAAACAATTATTTTAATCGCTTATAGTAAAACACCAAAAGAACCATTTACTCAGAAGACTGCAATAACTAGGTGAAAAACTAGAATCCTTCTGTGATTTCAGTTATGGCTTTGGGGAATCTAGATGCCACATTTTCTGCAAAACTACATTTTAATTACTTTGTGGTTTCCTTTAAAATTATGTTATATAAAACAAAGACTAAATAATTTAAATAAGAACCTTTCGTTAGAATTTCTTTAAACTAACTACATTTAAACTACATGTAAATTACAGACATTTATGACATCTAAATAATAATTAATTTCCTTTGTCAAGTCTGGTGTAATAGATAAGTATAGGGGAAAATCCCAAGATATATCTGTTATCTATTTCTCATTAAAGCTGTTTGGACTAGATTGTATTGATAAATTCAATGGCTACAAAAATAGACCACAAAAAAAGTGTGCAATGAAAGTAGATCTTCCTGTGAAGCATGTATGTTTTTTCACTTGAATGACTGTCATGAAGATGCGGGGGGAACCTGACCATCTTCATTTTCCAAATGCATTCCAGAGAACATTTCCAAGAAACACTGTTCCTCTTCTAGATAAGACTTCCTGATAGAAGTCATGCCAGATGTGACAGGATGTTAAAACAAATACACATTTTGACACAGGCCGCAAAGAAGCCTCTGGGACCATTTACATTTTAACAAAACCTTTTCTAACCGGTATGGTGTTAGTGGAATGTTTTTTTTTTCCTCTTTTTCTTTATTTAAAATATATTACCTGACTTTGGGGAATCTCATAGTCTGCTCCCCAAAACAATGTCATCCCCAGTGAGTACATGTGCATCTGTGGAAGGAAAACATTTATTTAACTAATCATTGGTCTTAAAAAAAATTATAATATTAACTGATTAGTCAGAAATTTACATAAAGAGAATGAATAATATAAACTAGGGATGCAACAATCTTTAAAAGCCCTGGAATGTCAATTCCTATTTTGTCTGATACTAATTTTTTTTAATAACTGATAATTCCAGCCATTATAAGAGCTTATAGTGAAAAACATTCAGCAGTACAAATAAATACAATAAAAAGTATTGAATAACTGCTCTTAAATATAAATCAAACTTTAGAGCATTGATGGTGGAAGATTATTCAGCCCACTGCAGTAATACATAAGATCAGTTACACTTTGAAATATTGGCCAATCACTGATCTTCCAAATATATCAGTGCACCCTTGTTATAAAGACAAAGTTTAATTCCATAAAGGTAAAGGATCACCAACCACCAAAGAGAATGGAAGTTGAATATTACTCCCCACACAAACATAGAGAAAGTCTCTCCCTAATTTCTTTTTTCCATTTTCCTGTTATTACTCTCTACTCATTGCCTTGGAGAGAAATGACTTCCCCTGAATGTTGGGCTTGGTAGAGTAAAGAATAATTCAGGGTTTGCCAAAGAATGCAACATAGCTTTCGAGGTCTTTTAGTAACAGACTGAGTGAGAGCCTAAAGACACAGCAACATTTTCAGAAAGTTCCTGAAGACTTGACAGTGAGGAATAAAATAAAGCACAGGTTGAACACAGTAAAAGAAAGCCTTGGCTCTTATAGCTGACATGTATTTACACTCAATCTTAAAACGAAGGAAACAGATATTTAACTTCTGCACTAAAATAACTCAGTTGGAGAGGCAGATACAGGCTCGGAAAACTGACTCAGCACAAAGCTGTTTGAGGTTAGTGGGTCTGAGCCAGAGACGGGTTTTCAGTCATGCAAGCCTTCAGTTATTCTACCAGAGTAGCAGATTTGAAATGAGAGGGCTGTGGGGATTCTTTCAACAGCAGAAGATGGTTTACTTCTGAGCTTTGGACAGATTCTCCCATTGTTTCAGTCTGGTACTTAAAGTCGGAACAAGTTCTATCAAATCTCATTGACTATCATTTCTATTTACACACCACTGGCAAAAAAAAAAAAAAAAAAAAAAAAAAACTGTTTCATTGATTTATTGAAAAAAAACGACTTCTGTTTTTTGTCTTTCGCATGAGAGATAGTCACCTTTACAGCACTATTCACAGATGTACTGAACTGCAAACGAAAAACCTTATTATGTAAACTTCAGCATATGAGCTAGAAATGATTACTGTGACAGGAATGAATTGATTAATGCTGTAATTCAGGAGAACTGGTATATTGTGACAAAACGGTACTAAAACCAGAAACAATAAATAAAAAATTAAAACAGCAATAGAGTAAGACCTGGTATGGCGAGTCTGAATTAATAGATTACACTTAAGGACCTTAGGACTGAACATTGGCAGAGACTGTTTTTTTTTTTTTTTTCAACTGTACAGAAATCTCTTTACTTAAAGATGGAGGGAATAAAAAACTAATTACTGATCGGAATCAGCTGATTGTCAGCTTGATTGCATCCGACTTGGTTATTGACTCGTCAGCCGCACAAAAATCCTACCCTTTATCGAGTCAGTGAACACATTAACCACAACCTTCTTTAATGTGGAAGGCACCACGTAGAAAAAGATTCAGGTTAGTCAGGAGTATAAAGTCAAGTCAAAGAGAAGCACAGAGATGTAAGAAGCAATTTAAAGTTAACCATACTTTGTAAGGAGAAGTAGCCTACTTTAAAAAGACTAAAAACAAACAGCACATAATGCTTTGGATGAATGCTTCACAGCAAATGTACTCTGTTTTAACCTATGAAGATTTTAAACCTGGTCCATCCTAAATTATGAAGGATTTTGAAATGTTGGTGATCCTTTAGAAAAACTCTTACAGATCCACTGCCTTAAGGTAACAAATAAAGACTCCTGCCATCACCAATCTGCTAAAGATTGATACGTTGAAGATGCTTAAGACAGTTTTCTTTTGTTCTTTTGTTTGATTCCTCCACTCTCACTCATGTCACATTAAAAAAAGAAAGACAACATGCTACCAGATAAAAGAAGGAAATAAATGGGAGGATGTTTACAAAGCTCTACACTATTTTATTTTCGGGAGTGCATCACAGAACTTTGGTAGCAATGCACTGAAATAAAGACACAAGGAAGAATGTTTATGTTTCTGTCACAGTATGCATGACCCATCAGTACACACCTTTTCAATGTCAGAAACCGTATTCAGAGAGATGCCTTCCATGACCTCTGGGGCTGTGAACGCTCTCAAGTCCTGCTGAGTGACATACTCATCTGTAAATGAAATGTTGCCAGAGGGCATAAGCAGGAGGGACCAGGGTGAGATGATGAAGCCCATAGCTGCAGGGTCTGGAGATGGAAATAAACAATAAAACACAAACATGAATAAAAGACAGTGATGAACTTTTGAAAACTGCCAAATGGGCACAGAGACAAATAAACGTTAAAGTACAGTCCTCTAAATCTCAAAACTAGTTATCAAATTCTGTCCAGACATTTAAAGCCCAAATGTCTCACACTTAGACATGTCTATCCACAGTGGCTGTTCCTGCAAAGAGCTCTAGTGTTTATGGATAGTCGAGCTGACTGAAGTAAACACAAACACTTGTTGCTTGCCTACTCTGCAAAAACAAAAATCTTGAAGCATGGAAGCGAAAAGGGAATGACTACACAGCATAAATCCCTTTTCCTACAAAGCCACAGGCAGTGCTATGGTTAGAGACAGCTTTAAAAATATACAAAGGAATGTTTGAGCTGTGCTGCAAAATTCTTTTCTTCGACTCATACTTCAGTTTGAGAAGAGCGGAGCATGGAAGAGAGGAGCTCAATTTGACGAGCCGGGAAAAAAAATTCTGCTTTCAATAGCTGGAATTTACAAAGTAAATACAAGTTTCCTGTTTAAACCCATCTGACCATTCAAAGATGTTTCAATCACAAGGAATCATGATTTTTCTCATAATTTAATGTTTTGTTGCTGTCTGATGGGCAACTAAACAACCGTTGATTAGAAATTCATCTGAATTGTTGCTCTTAAGTAGAGCAAATTTTCACACTTTCCTGAAAACACATATTTCTACCCCAAGAGGTCATTTATGCCTGTTTCGAAAATGGTTAAAGACCTCGGGAGACTTTGAGTAGCCTGCAAATTATTTGAAACTCACACTATCCCTACAGTGAGCATAATGATGGAAGAGTCATTCTGTGGGGATACTTTTTAAGCAAAACTAGGAATGTTTATAGTGAGATGGGTGGGAATAAATGCATGAAAATACCTTACAGAAGAAAAGGAAGACGTGAGACTGAGGCTACGGTTTGCCTTTCACATTAGAAAGAAAGAAAAATGAGGGAAAGAAGAGGACATAAACAACGAGCAGAGGAGAGAGCAAAGAGGCGTTTGTTTGGGCTGATGATAAGGCAGTCCACAAAAACGCCACAGAGGAGTAAAATGTGTTCATGCAAAATTCATAATAAATAAAGAAACAAAACCACAACTCTGAAGTAGGGCAGTGTTTTTGTTTTTGTTGGCCCATGCACATTTAGGAGGAGGTGACTTCTAAGTTAGCTAACACGCACAAACCTGCAAAAAAAACATGTCTCCTTCCATTTGATGTTGATCTAAAACCAAAAGAAGTACCATTTCTAGATCTGTGCAGCTGTTAAAGACAAACCCTGAAAGCCTCTTAGCTGTGACTGCAGTAAAAAAAACTATGTTTTGACTTGTGACATGAAATCCTTAAAGTTTGGAGGTTTAAACATCACAAAACACAAAGTTAAAAAACACATGAATGATTTTACAGGCTAATATTATTAGACGTAGGGAGTATTGGAAGGTAATTCTATTAGTAATCAGGAAAACTCCCATCAGTTTTTCAAAAACATTCATTCTTAAACTGCAATTTACGCATGGAGAGAAAAAAAAAACTACTGGTTTCGTTTACAAATACTTTAACAATCTCCTGATCTTTACACACCTTCACATCTTTCAAGATAAACAGAAACTAGGAGGGTTAAATTTAGATAAACTGTTTACATTCTATGTTGGGTTTTTTCAGCCAATATCAAAGAGAATATCTGCAAAGACTCAAAATAGCAGCTAAGATTTTTAAACTACAATTTGCTTGGATTGTAAGGGTTGAATATAGAGTATTAATAAAAAATTCTTGATGCAAACAGACTTTACACAGTTCACGGACTATAATTGCCGGGTCCAACATCTGCTATTCAAATTTTAGCCTCACTCAGCAGTCCAGTGGCCACAAGTTACACTGTACGACTACACACTGTAGAAGGATAAAATGCTGCTATAAATACAACTGGGAATGTCAGGGGGGAAAAAGCAAAAGGAAGACAAAATAAAGATGGAAAACCTTCAAGTATCCAGCTGTAATTCTTGTTTTATCTAAAAAATCCTTCACACCAAAAAAGCCTTCTGATCTTTTCATAAATGTGACCTTAGAGGATTATTCAGAAACATTTGCTGATAAGATTTTTCAGCACAGGCTCCAGTAAGCAAAACCAGAAAATGGAGTCAGGCTGGTTTTACGCACAGGGTCACGTCCAAGTTACTGCTTTTCATGGGAATCTACAATGGTCAACTCTTTAGATGACACATTGGTTGTTATCAGGTACTGGAATAAAGAGTGAAAGCAGGAACCTCCTTAAGTGTTTTTAAAGCCACATGCAGGACGCCGATTTCTGCAGACTCACATCCTCTCCAGTGTCTCTGGAGTAAAACTTCCCTCAGTACCTTTCCCTCAGACACTGCCTGAGATTTCTCAAAAAATAAAATGTCTCTGGAAGCTGAAATTTAACCATGTCTATAATTTGACGTCCTTGGTATTTTTTGGGAAAAAAATGTACTTTAAGTAAGATCTGCAGTCAAGTCTACTAACTATTATCTGTCTTTTTACGGTTAATGTTACAGCTCTTTGGAAAAAAAAAATAAAAAATTAGATCAATAAGTAGGAATAAATAAACTATTAACCCCCCTCTTTACTTTGCTGAAAAAAAAATCTATCAAATAAATAATTAGTCTCTCTGAATGATGGATTATTAACTGGATAATCAGAAAAGATAAAAAGCAAAATAAGGTGCAGCTCTACCTTTGTTGAAGAGTTCTTGGAGGCTCTCGGCGCTCTGGCTGAGCAGGGCCCATACCTCCTCCTCCTGCAGTGGGCCCCCTCGAACTTCAAGGGCCTCTGCCAGAGACACATGCATCTTCCCTGCACAGGTAGAGAAGAACCAGTTATCATCTGCGCACAATATCACAAACATTCATCCAAAAGTTTTGTTTAAAGTCATATGAAATCTAATTAACATGCTCATGTTCACCTCCAAGTTTATTGTTTGCTCTTTTAACTTGATAACAAGCGAGAAAATGCCATATTGACTTTTGTCTTGTTAGAAGAAAGAAATAAGAGTTTTGAAGGAATAAGAGCTGATCAGAGCTCCGAGTTCAGAAAATGCAAAGCAGGACCTCTGGGTCTAAATTCTGTTCATGTCAGCAACTAAACAGTCTCGAATATGTTTGAAATCGTTTTTGAAGCTGCCGTCTTTACTGCCTTAGAACCATACAGTCATAAATTTCCCAGTGTTTATTTGGTAGTAAATAGTCAGCAACACAAATAAACTTGAAATCTGCAAGAGTCAATCTAATTTAAAACATTACTAATACTAACAGAACAAAAAAGGGTATATGGATGTTGAATTCAGTAACATTTTATAGTATAGAAGATTTATTTACCAAGTTCTGCCGGAGATCAAGATCAGCTTGAGGCTGAATCAAAACTTAACGGCCCTTTAACCTAAAGCTGTTTCGCTTGTGTCATGTTTTAAAACCTGAAGCATAACATGACATTCAACTGATACACCAGGAAACTCAACATGACTTTAATTTGTATGGAAATAAAACCAATACAACCAGTTGGAACAGGATGCGTTTACTCCACAGCATCTGCTGGCTGAGTCATTCACACACGGACGTGAATGAGATAAAAACACATGCAAAGTTGCCCCTGATCTGTCACAGTTTCTGTCTGAACTCCAGCCACAGCTCTACAGTGGTTACAATAGTTTCTAATCTTCCCGATTCATCAATGGCATGTTAACAATGTAAGCAGAACAGGAAGCTCCAGTTTTTCTGTCTTTTAACAGGCTGTGCAGAAACTATTTGCACGATGCTACAGTTCCACGTCTTTAGGGACAAAAGACGATTTTGTTACAAAACATGGGTTAAATAACAATACAAACCCCAAACAGTAAACTGATGTTAATATTGACGTTGGAACTTTTTAATCAAAGTAATGTCAGATTTAAGCTTGTTTTTAGCCATTAGGTGGATCTCCTATAAAAACAGATGCACCATACAATAGCTTGGAAATATCAACTGAGGTTCAAACACTGAAATTAGCATGAATGGAAACATTTTACTTCTAAATAAATCATCTTAAGCCATGACATCCCTCTATCGAACTCACCTCCTTATCATGTTATCAGAAGACAGAAATGTGACCCTATATCAAATACACATCAGTTTATCATAATTAGTGGACCCAACATTTCGTGTCAATAGGTGTCAAAACTCTAAGTGGCAGTTGGGAAAAAACTATTCATGAACTGAAGAGTTTCGTAAGTTTCTGATTATCTATCTCTGATGTATTTAGTCATTTCTTATTTTTTCTGTTGAAATAAATAAATCACTAAATCTACCAAAGGCTCTAAGGCACAGACGGTTTATTTCAAAGTTCCATATTTATACGATTCCCTGTAAAACTCCAACAAAGTGAATAAAGTAAGTTTATGTTACAGTACTTGAAAAAAATGTCATAAAAAATAAAGAGAACACAGACCAATCGGTGAAGGACAACAAAAAGCCTATTGCTGCACTTCTGCTAATTTCACTGTTATTTCACAGTGCCTTACTTGATCTGATTTTAAAACATAAAGTTAACAAACTCATCATCAAAATGATATTGAAATTGGTATTTACTGACTAAAACACAAGAGCACTAGATTTCCCAAATGAAACAAAAGGGGGACAGTATGAATTTTCTTAACTAGAGCCTTTAAAAAAATTAAATTCACTTTTTTCAAATGGGGGTTTCCAGTAAAACGCTGAACTACCTGCCTGGTTCTGCCCTGTACAATATAAGGTTGTCCTCAAACTCAAGCCAAAGGAAGATTTGGATCCAATGTGATTTACACTTGTAAACCTTGTTAGCAGTGTAGCTAAAAATCAGAACACAAATTGCTGAAGGCCTGTCTTGTTTGCTGACCTTTTATTCTGTAAGGCCAGTCAGAACAATGATGCCATATTTATTTGAGTTTTCCTCTGATAAATAAAATGCATATCAGAAAAAAATTATATTAAAAAAGATCCTGTTGAGACTTCATAGGTCCACGCCTCATGCTGTCAGGGTTACACCTCAGTTACCCTGAGGCTGGAAGGTTAGACTTTCCCAATTCACAGATGACCACTTCCAGCCTTAATTGTTTTTGAGGTCTTCAAAGGATCCAGCCTATGTTGGAAGGTTCTTCACTGGAATGTTTTATTAACGTAGGGGAGGGGGGTCATGAAGTAATCACTTTCACCTACATGCATATTATAAGTACTTAAATATTAGCAAGACAGAATGTGATTAAAAATGCTACAAATGGGCGTGCTTTGATGGCGCAAACGGCCCGTGTACGGAGGGTTTGTTCCTCGATCTGGGCATGCAACATGGCTCTTCCCCTCTCCCATACCCCTGTTCCTGTGAGCCTACTGTCCAGAAAAACAATGCGCTAGTGCCGTAAAAAACAAAAAAAACCCTACAAATACATTTAAAACTCAAGGTAAACTTTACAAGGCACTTTTTAAGTGTTTCAGAAGGTGATTAAAAGCTGAAACTAAAAAAACGAAAGTTTGTTAAGCAATTAAGCCTAAAGGAAGTTAACAGAGGCACACGGTGGATGAGGTTAACTCAGGGGGTTTCATCGGAAGCATTGCACATGTGTGGCTCATGTTCGGTGGGCAAAAAGAGTAGAAACGGCCTTTTCTCTCTAACTGCAGAAACGGGCTCCAGTGTTTTGGAGCAGGGAGGGGCTAACTCACTTACTACTCGCTGAAGACACTAAACTCAGCTATTGGTGCATCTGTTGTTAACAACGTCTCCAAGAACACAGGAAATTGTCTAGATTTTGTTGCTAGCCTAAGGGCATCCAAAGTGCAGCCCAGGGTCTGTTGGTGGTCCCTGGGCTGAGCTTTGGACACCCTTAAGACTGGTTTATACCCAGAAACCAGGTCGTCTGTGTGTGTGTCGCAGTGAACGCAAATGTGCCCCCCCCCCCTTCTGCAGTGCACCTCCCCAAAATAGTAGGTGACCGCAGACAGTGCCGCAGATAGCGTTGCAGGGAAGACAGAAAGGATGTTTTGTTTTTATGACCGCTTTCATGGAAAACAACTTGTGAAGTTGGACTAAATAGAAGAGCAAAGGTGCGCAAGAACACTGGGACCCTTTTTCCACCTGGATCCCCACTCTTTTTCGCCCTCATGTCCCTCCGTTGTCATACAAACTTGCCTCTTGCGTTTTTCCACTTCCTCACTTACTCGACCGTATCTAGACCCACAGCGAGTTCATGATTGTCCCTCTTGCATTGTGGCGAGGAATAACATAGGACAGACCACGCTTCAATATTGGGCATAAATCAAAAATATCTGCAACAAGCTCACTGCGACACAGTGCTGCAGGAGTATAACCTGCCTGTCAGGTCTTTTATTCGCCCTTAGGTCTGAATCATCGTGGGCCTCAATAAGGATTCCATAGATGGCATACCTTTAGTTTGTGGAGTCAAGTGGCTGATGCAGACATACATGTAAACGGATACATTATGGAGCAATTTTCACTCTGCAAGGCCAGAAATCAAAACAAAACAAATAAAGAAGGAAAACACAAAAGATTTGGATCAAACTATCCCCTCTATAACTTGAAAAGCTTTCACTTATACCCCTTTCCCACTGCCCCAAAAAAAAAAAAAAAAAAAAAAAAAAAAAAAAACAGCTTAAACCCGGGAACAATCGGCTTTTAATGGCAGCGGAAATAGCTCACTAACGCGTGTCTACCCAGGTCAAACAACTTGGCTAGCGACCCGTGTTAAAATCAGCTCGGCTCTGATCGATATATTTTGGGAACAAAAGAGGTGGGTGGACTCGCTAAAGAAAGTTGAGCGCAATATATGGACAACAACACACTGCACCAGTTGCATCTTATCTAACAAGCTGAAGCCACTCTGTTTACATTTAATAAACATGGCATTGCACTGGTAAGAGATATTCGGAGGGACAAAAGAGCGAAACAATTAAGCATTGACTATGTCCTGGCTTCCTTACATGTTTCTCTCGATTGTTTACTTTCCTGATGAGTGTTGCAGTGGTGACATCATCAAGGCTATCCCAGCGTGATGGCATCACCAGATATGCAGCTGCGGGGACAGAGGCCATGCAGCTTGCCAGCGAGGGGTTAGAGCCAGCATTTTTTGCCAATGGGAAGGAAAATACAAATGCCGATTGTTAGCGGGTCGACCCGTGTTTGAAAAACACACGTTAATACGGTATTTTAAGTGGGAAACAGGCTATAGAGAGGGGATGAAGCCCTTCTGTTATCTGAATATAATTTCTCCATAAACTGTTGCAGTTAACTGGGCCACCAGACTCATTAGTTCCATTTTTTGGCTGAAAGCAATATGTGAAACAATGTCCTTTCTATGAATTGGAGTTTTCTGAAGGGAGTTAATGAGTAAGCCCTTCCCCAGCTTAAATGTTTATGCAGGAATGCAGGTTAACCATTCTACTCAAAGGGAGGCGTGAAGTTAGAGCATATAGTGGGATACCAACCATCTTGTTCATTAGCCATGAGAAAGAGGAGAGCGGGTGCTGTGAGGGCTGATTGTTTTGTGACCCTTGTTATTTCAACAGAGACCTACAGTGGAATGTTTTTTATCTGTGCTGAGAGCGCTGTACGGGCCAACTACCCTCTCATTGGGCCGTGGTTCTGCTCATTACCGAGGGTGTTCAGCAATCTGAAGGCAGAAAGGCCTCACCATTTTAGAGCCTGCTATTTGGATCTTTGTTCCCAGGTATCCAAGAACAACACCAACCAAGCAATAGGCTGCTGTTGTTGGTGAGAGAATTTCAAAGAAATAATCCTGGAAACCTGATTTTTACTTTGCACTTGTGAAGATTTTCCCCTCCACCCACCTTCCTGTGTGTGACACCATTACAACTCCTTGGATGGATTTGAAAACAGTTCCCTAGAAAAATGAATAAGAAAACGCCCACTTCTAGGCACTACGTATAAAAATGATTCACTTTGTTCTTTAAGGATGATCCATTTCTAAAACACAGAACAAAAGCTGCTTCTTTAAAACAGAGAAAAGCAACTCATCTATAGGAAAGATATATTCTAGTTTTGGGAAGCAAAAATCATAACAAATGCTATGAGAAGGAATTTGATAATATCCTCCAAAAATCAGAACTGTGGTCTAAGCTGGCAAGGACATCTGGAAATGGAGAACAGAGGCAGTGATGGGTGCCAACAGAGAGGTTTAAAAAGAATGCTGGCTTTTCTTGCCAGGAAAATTCAGTAACAAAAGTATTTTTGTAAATTTAGATGAATTATAAATTATAAATTATAAAAGCGATGAGCACACATTGATAAGGTTATCTCTATTAGCCCACATGGCTGGACATGTAAGGGGGAGAATCAGTGAACTCCTGAAAGGCAAACACAGGGAAATATATCAACCCTGCAGATTGATAACACTAAAGCAAATCCTCATCTAGAACATCAGTTTAGGAATCAAGTATACTGATATGTTGTGCATATGCATTTAAATATTGTGTGTTGTGTAATTTTGCAGTGCTATGGGTCTGCGCACAGATTTGTAGGATGATACCTGATGAGAACCTATATCACATACTAAAATGTGTTGAAACAACGCTGTTAAGGAGTTAACTAAACAGTGAGGTATCATGCAGGCTGCGATGGACTGGTTATCTGTCCAGGTTGTACCCCGCTCTTTATCCATAGACTGTTAGAGACAGGCACCAGCGCTCTGTTACCCTGGCAGAAAAGCAGTTGACAGGTAGGTGATTGGGTGCCCAGTCCAAACTAGGGTATCTTTACATAAACATCTTAGAAGAAATGCACGTCTATATAACTGTACAAAGCACCAAAAAAGTAGTAAATTCTAGGTCCTCTGGTAATACTGTGACACGGCCACAGAGTAACGTTAAAACCCGGCTCAACATTGGAACCACATTTTGAATAATTATCTTTTCTTCTAAAACCCTGGATCCATCTGGATGCACGGCCTCAACAACAAAAACTCTTTGTTTTTTTTAATCTAACCTCTTCTCCATGTTGATAAGACCAAAGGCTCCATCTCTACATGTCATAAAACAAGTGATTTATTTTTATTCCAGTTAAAAATAACATTCAGTTGGGGGAGGAAAACAAAGTATTTTAATTTTATTTATTATTTATTGATTATTATTATCATTTTTTTCCTACTTGCTTTGATTCTGTTTTATCTTCCTGTATTTTAATCATGTAAAGCACTTTGCAATGTCTTTGTACTGAATTGTGCTATACAAATAAATTTGCCTTGCCTTGCCTTAAAGGGATAGTTCAGCTAGGGCCTACTAACCTGACAACAGCCAGATGCATGTCTCCCTCCGCCCAGCTAGGAGCTAGGCGGAGGGAGACATGCATCTGGCTGTTGTTGAGCTCGCTGTCTGAATGACGGCGCGCACTGATACGAACAGAGAGAAAATAGGACCAAGTGATAACGACGTGTGACTTTTTCCACTACAACGTTTTTGGGATGCAAAAATATCACTCTTTTGAACACATAATGTTTTGGGAAGAGAAACGTTTTATTTCGCTGGGTCTAGCAAACCTGCCGGACTACTTTTGGCTTGACCAAAACTGGACGAGAACTCTGCTCACAGGACGCTGCCAGGGGTAAGTCAGTGTGATTGCATGACACTGGTGATGGGGATGCCATACAGATTCATGTCAAAAATACCGAACTATCCCTTTAAGTGAAGATAATTAGGCTAACTGTAATCAGCATCGTTACTGCAAGATTTGAAATCATCAGTATTCCTTTTTTTCCCCAAAACTGGCAGCTTTGCTTTGTAGTAAAGTATTTGTATGAGTTGTAGAGAAAATCAAACAAACATTATCTTTATTTTAATATTCTTTTGAACACAAAACTGCTATTTTTAAATCCGATTATATAGAAAACTAGAAGTAAAAAACTTTCAGTGGTCTACTTCAAATGGAAATCCAATGCTTATTTTCCTAGTTAAAAAAAAAAAAACAGGCAGTGCTGACCATAATATCAGAATGGTCAATGTTGTAACAAATTGTTCCTCTTTATACCCCCACAGAGGCCATCATCCATCTGACATGTAGCCTTGCATTTGCATTGAAATGCTGTTAAACAATATTAAACAAGTGTATGAATGTTGATATTATATATATATATATATATATATATATATATATATATATATATATAAGTTTAACAGCGAAACCTGTAAACCTATGAAAGAATTAATCCAGCTGATGGAGCCATGCAGAGACAGACAAGATGCAATGAATTATTGTCTTGGTCCCTCAAATATAATTTCAACCATAACTCCCCGAGTATGCAATTGTTAAAGTAAGAGTTAAAGAGTTAAGAGAGAATTAAATAAACTTTGTCAATTTAAAAAGCAAATTGTTTTGTTATCTGGTGTTGTATCAAAAGGCAAAACATCTAAAGTTATGACATGTGGGCGCTTTAGCATAGTGTCCGCCATGGTAAAGTGTAGAAGATGCTGGTGCTCTAACAGGACATTTTTCTATTTTTTTATTTTTTTATTTTGTAGTAGCACCAGTTAAGCTTTTTTCCGTTTAGATCAACAAACAATAAAAACTACCTATTTCTAGTTCTCTTTTGAGTTACAAGTTATTACACAGTTTCTCCTTGCTGTGTATGCTGCTTACTTTTGTCTAAAACTAACAAAAAAACTAATGCACATACTCTTGGGTGATATGATTGTAAACCACAATGGTGGAGAGTTTTAGGATTTTATTTATGTTAGTAACCCAAAAATAAATAAAACTAATCAAAAAAAAAAAGAATTAGATCTTGTTTTGTTTATCACAGATCTAAGCTGAATGGAGTCAAGGATCATTGACCTCCACATAATATAAGCTGTGCATTATTGTAAGATAAATTACAAACTATAAATGCAGTTGCCTAGCTGGGTTTTATGTGAAAGAAACAGTAGCAGGATATAAGTGACAGCACTGGCTCATCTACATAAAAAAAGCAAAAAAAAAAGTGGTTGGTTCACATTCTTTGTGTTTTACATACCATCTACAGCATTAGCAGATGTACTTTTCCAGATTACTCAGAACACAGGCCAATACAGGGTCAACTCTGGCACTTCCTAGTAAAAATATTCCTCCACAAATAAATAAAAAACACTTTTATCCACCTATCCACAGTTCTTGTTTTCCACTAAAGTCTGTCTTGAAATGCCATGACTATTTCCTTGCTTCATTTCTCATTTTGGTCTGGACCTCATCCGCCCCATTTCTGTTAATCACAGGGTTGCTATGAGAACTGTGACATGGAGAGCATTTCTTTTTCTTTTTTTTTCTTCTTCTTGAAAACAAAACTAAAACACAGTCTGCCTTCTTCACTACACAAGAGCAGCTTTCCACATTTCTCCCCATAAAGATGCTCAGATCACCTTTACAATGACAGCACAGGATGGGAATGTTCTTTAGCTTAGCTTCCCCCTGACCTTTTACTCTGAGTTAACTTTAGTATATTTCAATGTTAATGAAGGGGGAGGGGGTTAAAGATGCCTTCTCACATACCAACCCATAAAACCTTCAGTCAATACTGATTATATGGCTCTAAAGGCTTTGTTAACAAGGGGAAATGTGTGCTAAAACATTAAACATGTGGTCTATTTTGTCAACATTAGCCAAACTGCTCAAGTGATAGATGTTGGAAACTGTTAGACAGCAAAGTATCTGCTATTTTTGTAGTGGGGGGTTCTCTACCACCCAATTAAAATGCTGCATCTTTATAGATGTGGTCCAAATGTGAACATAAGCTTAACAAACTTGTAAAATCAAAAAATCCAACGGTTTGTAGCTAGGCATCTGTTAACTACGCACCGAAAACAATCAAGTCTGCTCAAAATTACTTAATCCCTGAGGTTTTAAAGATGGGTTAAAGTTAGCCAAACACAAACACACACACACATAATAAAATAATAATAATAAACACAAACGAAAAATGTAATATGTTCAAAAGTAGCTTACCCAGGAAGGAGAATCAGACAGTTAACTGAGAAACAAATTGGAGTACTCCGGCGAAGCTAAGAATCCACACACCAACGGCTCCAGACGCCATCCCATCCACAAAGCAACATCTTGGATTGTAGTTAACTACACGGACAAGCAGACAGGCAACAGGTTTGCGCTCGCGCGGCTCATTCCGTTTTAGCTTTCCTTTTGACTGAACCGCTTTTCAAATTTAAAAACATGGACATTAAAAGATAGTTTTAAAGTTTGGGAGTCCCGTTTATTCGCTTCGGCTCAGTTAAGTGCTCTCCTCCCGCGAAACAAAGTTACCATTTCTGTGGAGCAGCGGAATAAGCCCTCCCCTCTGCCATCTAGCGTGGACTGACTGGGAGTAACCAGACACCTAAGCGCGGCCGCTGATTGGCTCCTTCCTGAGGACTGTCATTTCAACCGCTGCCATGGCAACACACAACCAGCAGGGAAAGGTTGAGCAGAGTTTGGTTTATTAAATTGACTGAGCAGTTCAAATCTACGGAAGAGGAGTAGGGCCACTAAAAAAAATTAATAAATAAGTAACTGATTTTTAAATTCTATTTCAGTTTAAGTCAGAATTCTTAGATTAAAGTCACTATTCTGAGATTAAAGTCAGAATTCTGAGGAAAAAAAGTCAAAATTCTGAGAAAAAAGTCAGAATTCTTAGATTAAAGTCAGTATTCTGAGATTAAAGTCACAATACTGAGAAAGATGCCAGAATCTTAGATTACAGTCAGTATTCTGAGATGAAAGTCAGAATTCTGAGAAAAAAGTAATTATTCTCAGATTAAAGTCAGAATACAGAGAAAAAAAGTCAGTTTTCTAAGATTAAAGTCAGAATTATGAGAAAAAAGTCAGAATTATGAGATTAAAGTCAGAATTCTGAGAAAAAAGTCAGAATTCTTAGATTAAAGTCACAATTCTGAGATTAAAGTCAGAATTCTGGCCTTTTTTCCATATTAAACTGAAATAAAATTTAAAAATCAGTTGATTTTTTTTTCAGTGGCCCTAATCCTCTTCCATACAAATCCGTGTGCCTTTCATCTCAAAAACCAAACAAGACAATGTATGAAATGTTAAATAAAACAGACTGATAACTTTTTCCCAGCCAGATGCTAATTTTTTAACTTTTGTTGTTTTTAATTATTTTTCAATGTTTTGTGATATAAGTTGTAATGGTAACCATGAAGTTGTTACCAGTATGGTATCAATGCATATAAGGTACAGGATAAGGTCCCAAAATCCTAGGGTTGCCAAGCAGATTTTATGTTGGGGCAACCTTCCACATGCAACCACACCTTGATCAATTGCATACACAATTGAAGGATTTAATTACAAAGTTTGTAAACAACTGAACCACTTGTTAAACTCAGTTTTACTTGTAATTAATCTTTTTAATTATTTTAATCACATTATTTATTTAATAAATGTTAATCATTACATTATTAATTTAGGATTTTTTATTTGTTTTTTTTTTTTCTTCTCTGACAAATTCACTTGGTCTGAAAGTCTGGTTTAATACACAGCATTTCAGACCATACTCATGAGCGTTGTCCAGTTTAATAGCTTACGTACACAGGCACACATACATTTTTATTGATTTATTTTTTGTTTTGAAGTTTCAGAAAAGATAAAGTTTGACTTCAGAACATGCACAATATCAGAAAAGATTATACCAAAACAACAAATAATTTGATTGTTGTGTCAGTTTGTTTTTTCTTTTGCAAATGTTTAACCTAATGTAAATAAGACAACATGCACCCTCCACACCTATAGCTGCGCACATCAGGACAGCTGACAGAACAACTATTTATTCCAGCTGCTACCTGATCAGATAGTACAACTAAATGTATATACATTTAATCATAAGAAAGGTTATCATACTGCAAGAATCTAATACCAGCTGGTGCCAAACATGGTATTTATAATACCTATCACAGCAAATTATTTTCTCTATATTTTTATTACAATTTAGATTTAAAATAGAAAAAGAAAACAACACACATTGTTTGCCTACTTCTCCAATTCATCGCTTTTTTTTTTTTTAGCTTAATCTAAGATTGTGTTTTTCCCCTTATGTATTCCAAATAATGTTCTGATCATTTATTCCAAGAGGAAGCAAGCAAACAAAGAAAAGTACATTTATTCACATAAGCAACAGTGTAACATTTAATCAGAAAAAAATAAATAAAAATTGTGCTACTCTTTTAAGGGTGGATGAGGAAAATCTAAATATCCATATCCAATCAAAATATGGCTTTATTAATCTAATAAAGAACGTATTAGTGTGCAAAAATGCATAATCATTACCATCTTTTGTCATTCCAAATTTTTTTTTTTTTTTTAAACTTCTTTGAAAGTCAGCAAAAATCAAGATTTCGCTGGATTTCCCACAACATCCCAAATAAGGAATCATGTACACATTCAGGAAGCAATACTCAGCTGAGAACTTCCTTCCCGCATGGAACTTCAAAGCGCTGCGTGTTCAAGGTCCCTTTTCCGCCATCTAGTGGCTGTTATTCGTTATTACACGGTCTTTACATCACGTTGGCTTCATCTGACACAAGCTGCAGCAGGAATGATAAGGCTTGATTATTTGACTATCAGAGATTTCCTTTTATTCCAAGGTGCAGAATTCAAACATTAGTATAAAGACTTATATATATTTGTTCTAATGCATATAATATCTCATAAAAAAAAAAAAAAAGATCTTTGGGCTAATTGCATATGCTAAATTTATTTATGCAATTAATGTACATTTAATTCAAGACTTTTCAGTCTATTTCTGTTTACTTTGTTTTAGAAGAATTAGCAGTAATATTTGGAAAAGATTAAATACAAAATATTTCATATCAATGATCCTCCTAATCTAATTCTATTCTTTAAATGATCTGCACTTAATTATTTCTTTTCTTGCTCTTTGATGAAAAATAATGTTTTTAATCCCATAATAATGCAATGGAACTAAAACTTAACTTTATTTTTATTTCTCTCTCTGCCTAATACAGGTGAAGTATAAATAAAATGTACTAACCTTTTGACCTACAACGCCATACAATAACATTAAAATAAAAAAAATAACATCGATATAAATAATATGAATAATAATAATGACATGTCTGGAGGACAAGAAGTTTCACTGAAGAAGAAGAAAAAAACCACTTCAAATTTACCATTTAAATTATTCAATTAGAAATCCTATTTGAAAAGCGCTTTCTAACTAAACATTTTAAATTGATTTATTAAAGAGGAATTATAAATCCTTTTAGTTAATCAGTTTTTTAATATTACAAATCATACTTTTATATGGAGATAAAAGAAAAAAAATAATTGGTTGTACTGCCACACATGATGCACAAAATGACCAATTATCAAACATCTGATGAGAAATTGTGATTGCTTTAACTGGTTTTCAGTGAGCTCAGGTATGGAGGAACAATCCTGCCATAATTAAAAATAAATACAGTAATAAATAAATGTTCCTAAAATAAATAAGCATACAATTAATTGCCCCCCCCCCCAAAATACAATAAACAAATAAATGAAGCTAGAAATTAAAATTATATATATATATATATATATATATATATATATATATATATATATATATATATATATATATATATATATATATATATATATACATTTCTGCCTGTTGTTTTTACATTTATTTATGCATTTCTTCCTCATAATGCTAATGAGGAGGGATGTGTCAAAAAAATACAAAGGAAGAATAAAACAGAAAAAAAATATCATCACATGCACATAAATAAAGACTTAAAAAATAAGTAATAAACAAATAAAGTTAAAGATTATAATGGACAATAAATAAATAAATAAGTTAATTATTACAAAGGCGATTAAATAAATCAGCTAATTAAATGAGATCCATATATTTATGTCTCACTGTATAATTTAATTTTCTACCAACATTTATTTGTTTATTGTATATTTGGGGGCAATTAATTGTATGCTTATTTATTTATTGAGCATTTATTTATTTCTGTATTTATTTCTAAATATGGCAGAGTTGGTCCTCCATACTTAGGGACCAGGAGTGTCACCTGCAAAATTGAATGTAAATGAAAAACTAAATAGAATAAAGAAAAAAAATGAAATAGCTTTTTTTGTTTTTTAGTGACTCTCTTGGTCCTCCATAGCATACAGGGTGAGATCAGATGATATCCCTCACCCCTCCCATCTGCTGTCTCCATGTGATCTCTCCCTCTCTCTGCTTTGACGTCAGACATGGTCCAGGACGGTTGTCATAGCAACATATTTCCCCATCCCTCCCTCTCCGTCTCTGAGCTCTGGTGGGTTTACAATGGTACGGCCAGCATCTTGCAGCACAATGGTTGTAAGGTGGTGAGCTGGGGAGAGTGATTCAGCATCAGCAAACACCGGTTTCCATCCGTTTTTTTTAAAACTTGTTTTCATTTCTTCATTTCCCTGCTTTTTTTGAAACGCCTTTTTTGCTTTTTATGTTTTGTTCCACCCCCAGCAATGGTCACCGCAACGTTTCTGGTGGGGATGTTTTGAAAGGGACTGGCTCCGGACTGGGATCGTCATCAGCTGGCACGGAATGGTAAGGCTTTACATTGTTTATCCCACCACCCACACTAGTTGCCAGGAAGATGGAGTGAAGAATATTGATTGGAAATTGAAGGTTAATGAAGTCCACTTTGAGATTTCAATTATAGGGAGAAATCCCCCTATATACAGCAGCAGTTGTGCCTCTCTATAGAAATGCCCCCAAAAAACAGAGCTTATTCAATTCACTTGCAAACAAAGAAAAAAAATATATATACATCACCTAATGGTGTAAAATAAAACAGAGCATAAAGCATAGTCTGCATTAGTTTTATGTAACAGCTTAATCAGCCTTTTTTAAATGTGTTTAGGACTATGAATTGATGTTGGGCGACTGTTTTTCGAACCCCAGTAAAGAAGGCCTTTCATGCAGGGCTTGGTTGTCTCTCCTCCTCCTCAGAAGTCAGCTGCGCACCTTGTGCATTATGCAGAGCACCCCTACTTCACCAGGATGTGAGACCAGCCTGGATGTTTCATAAGTCTGACAGGACTATCGATAGTGCAAGTCTAGTGCTTTCTATCATTCTGAATAAAGAGAGATAGATGTGTGATGTGTTTCTTTTATCCTCCTTCTATGCTGTGGTTTGCTGCAGCTGCTTTAGTGTTTGTATGTCAAACAGATTTTATTGGCCTTGTTATGAAAACTGAGCGTACGGAATGGATGGGATGTCTTTCAGCCATAATCTTGTGGTATTTCGAGGTGTAATGTTTTCTAAATCATCCAAGCTTGAGGAATT